TAGGTAATTTTAGATTTTATTCATATGCAAAAGCCTCTGTGCACAGCTTGGTTGGGGCGGGGTCTCAGGGGATCAACAGGGCGGAGCAAACAGCTATGGCTGATCCTCAGCCCTGCCCTAAAAGGCCCCAGGTCTCAGTGTCCTACTATAATCGGTAATCGCTGCAAGCACCTCTGAGAGAAAGCTGCCCTCAAGTTCCGAGGTTTGCCCGCTTCCAGACAGTCTATTTTCTCCCTGTATGAGTCTGGGTCCCCAGAGACTTCCCAGAACTGGAGTTCAGAGCAGTCAGGAGCGTGTAACTCCCTCCAGATTCAAAAAGACAGCAGTCTCCTCAGTTTGCCAGCCGTTTCCTCGTACACCTCCGTACCTATGCACTTTACTTCCGCAGCTCCTCTGAGTCTCAGTGTGCTTTTCTCTTTCCTTCTAGTTGTAGAATTTCCACTCAGACAGCCTTCCTGTGGTTCTGGATGATGTCCATTTTGTCTTTTAGTTGTCGACACTTTTTCTTTAGACCCAAATTCCAAACAATAACCCTTGTAAATGAGGAAATTAAGTGACAACTTTGTATACTGTCATCAGGAATCAATTCAAAGGCTCTAAAATTTATGAATACGAATGTCTCAGTCAGGGCTGGCTCACTGCTGAGACAACCAGTGGGTAACACAGTGAAAGACTGTGGTTGGCCAGCTCTCTTCTGAGGGAAACTTAAGGACTCCAGCTCCTGCTGTCCTGTAGCTTGGGCCTCCTCTGGTGTTTGGAGTGTTCTCCACTCAGTTGATTGATGGGCCTCAGAAGGGAGCATTTAGCTTAGGAGGTTTTAGTGGGGCAGTCCTGGCCCTGGTACTCATCACTTCTGTTCACATTCCATTGGCCAGAACTCAGTCATGTGGCCACACCTAACTACAAGGGAGTCTGGGAAATGTAGTCTGGCTGGATGCCCAGGAAGAGGAGGTGAAGACCAGCCATTCCTGCCAACTCTGCCAAAAGGAAGAACTATGGCACCGTTTCAGGAACTGTAGTGCATTGTGAAAAGGTGAATGAAGTGAGATAGTCACAGTATCAAAGCCTAAAAAAAAATTTCATTTTTTAGGTAATGTCTGAAATTCAGAGGAACCAGTGTCATAAGCCAGATGTCAGGAACCTCAGTGATATTCAGAGTGTGCGTTTTCTCTACTTTTCATTCTATAGTTCCCTCTGCATTTGCTGTTCAGTTAACTAGAAGAGACTGACGGGTTTGAAGTAGCTACCTCTGTGTTCTAAACCCATCGTGTGCACACCTGATGTCAGCAAACACGGTCCAAAGAGATGTAGTTGCTAGGTTTTTTGTGTTCACTATAAACAAATCACTAGCCAAAATATCAATTGTATTCCCCACTGTGTTCCTTCCTTCTTATAACAAGAAGAAACACACTGGAGTAATTACAGTTTGCAAAATAAATGATGTACTTGTTGCTCAGAGCATGATCCATGGTCCTGTGATATGGGCGTTGCCCGGGAGGTTTAGTTCACTCTTTTTTGAGAAAGGCATATTCCCAGGCCCCTCCATAGTCTTGCCAAATCATCTGTATTTTAGCAAGACACCTGGGGATTTTCTAGTTTGTAGAGGCATGACCAGGAACATTTGACTTGCTGGCTCTCTGGCTTCATTTCTTTAGTCTCTGTGATAGGTGAGTGGGGTGTGTGGGTGTTTTAAAGTCAGAAGAAAACAAAAATTTACACCCATACTGGTTGGGGGTTTTTTGTTTTGTTTTTGTTTTTTTAGTTATTTTCGGGATTGAGGGGTGTGGAGTGGAAAAGAGAGAAAGTGTTTGGGAAGAGGATATATTTTCAAAAGTGGTCAGTGAATTCTATTTTCCGCTCTGGTCTCCAGGTTATTTTATTTCAGCTTTCTGCTGTCTTCATGGTCTCTGTGAACATTAAGCCTCAGGGAATTGCATAATATCCAGCACAGGCAGCCTTAAACTTTCACCTCTAGGGAAACTAATAGTTAGCAGGAAGGTTCTGTTCCTAGAAGGCTGGAGAAGTTATCCACACATTAATTAATTAATTACCCATTAATACATCCCCTTTAAGATACAGTCCATAGCAATGTATTTCTTGTGATTTCTTTCTCATAGCTATAAAAGTGGCCTACAATTGATAGTAGAGCCTTGTCAAGAGCATTTTTCTAGATTCGTTTGAGTATCTTGTATCAAAGAATCATTTTCCCATCTTTCTTCTTTGGTTGAATATTTTCTTATTTCAAGTCAAGGAAACAAGTGATATGAAGAAGAAAGCAAACACTCCTTACAGCTCCCAGCCCAGTGGTTCAGCTCATGTGAAAATGACTGTGCTGTTGACGCCAGTGTGGTTCCACGGCAGCCTCGCCTGCCGCAGTACCTTCCATCTCCGCCACCTCTGCCAGCACGTCACCCCAGAGGATCTGTCGAGGACTCGAATTTGTGGGCAAGCAGAGCAGGCGATTGACTTGTCCTCAGCACATCTCCTGGCCCATATACACAGCGGTCCTGGACTTAGCGCCTGCAAAAGGAAACCCCAAAACTCAGCTGCCTTGTCCCGTGTCAGTTTACATTCATGCACAAAAGTGGCCCTACTTCTAAGGTCATCTGTGAGGCCTCCTGCTTCCCGGGAGGTCAGATAACTATGAAGTCCATGATTGCTTTGATGGGGACTTTTACACTGAATCTTGAATTTACGATGGAAGGAAAGTTTTTCTTCTTTTTGTTAGTGATCTGAAATGTTTGATGGCCCCTCTAAGGGAATACTGTAGGGTTTTAGCTAGTCATGAGCACAGGGGAGATGTAATGACACTCATTTGCCTGGTAAAATCTAAATGCTGATAGCAGCTGTTTTAAATTCCGTGAAGATGTAAGTTTTTTCTTGGTTGTGGGTAAGTGCATAAGAATTGCGCTGATTTTCATGAGTCATCGTTTCAGTCCTTTATTCGTTTTGCAGAGTAAGTGTTTGATGTAAACAGAATCCAGTGCTGCTTGGAGTCCTTAAAGATGAACCCAGGAGTCTGTTTTATGTGCCTGACCCTGCGCTCAGCTCTTCCTTCTCTCTCAATCCTCCTGCCAACTGGAGGGGAGGGGGTGGCAGAGAGGGGGTAGAGGAGGGTCTGTGATCTCCTCCAGTGCGCAGAGGAGTGAGCTCAGTTCCTATGCCAGGACCTTCTGTCCATTTTGGAGCCTGCATGTGAAGGCGAGCAGTGTGAGGACACAGTGCAAGTGTATCTCCCAGCTGGGAGCGTGGGTGTGAAGGTGAGCAGTGTGAGAACACAGTGCAAGTGCAACTCCCAGCTTGGAGCGTGGGTGTGAAGGTGAGCAATGTGAGGACACAGTGCAAGTGC